CCCCACAGGGCTGCAGAAACCCTGGCAGAAACCATGCTGAGCAGTCACTGGCTGTCCCACCCCCACTGTGCACGCTGCCACCTTGTGGTGCTTTATGGCATGAGGATCAATTTGCATATTGCCTCTATTGTATAGAATATACATATGTATGTCTACATATACATCATTCCACCAGTCACCCACTTCTTGATACCTACAATGCTAATCTTGTGTAAATTTTTAAAGAAAACTTTTGACTGACCTTTGTCTCCCACATCTTTTCTCAACAAAAGACAAAATACTTTCATTTTTTATTTTAAAAAAATATTTTTATTGATTTCAGAGAGGGAGATAAACATTAATGATGAGAATCATTGATCGGTTGCCTCCTGTATGCCTCACACTGGGGATCAAGCCTGCAACCCAGGCATGTGCTCCAACCAGGAATTGAACTGTGACCTCCTGGATCATAGGTTGATGCTCAACCAGAGCCATGCCAGCTGGACCCAAAAATAAGCCTTTTAAAAGAGCCAGATATTTCACTCCTTTGATCAGAACCTCACAATGTCTTCCCATATTAGAGGAAGATCCAAGTCCTACCGTGGCCTAGAAAATCTATGATCTCCCCATTGTTACTACCTCTCTGACCTCCTACCACTCATCTCACCTCTCCCACTCCAATCTCCTTACTGCTCCTCAAATGTGTCAGTGCGATCCTTTTACTAGTAAGACTCTTACATGCTGGAAAGTTATGTCCCAGGTTATGTGCAAGGCTCTCACCTTATAACTTTGCCCAAATTTATTTTGAGTTCTACCCAAACCACTCTAATATATAAAGTTGCAAATCTACCCACCACCACCTAATTATCTTGTTTTTTTATCCCATAGGATTTTACCATACTTATGTTAGTCGTCTGTCTCTAGACTCGTGCAACCCAAGTGTAGAATAGCATCTAGCATATAATTATCTGAATGATGAGTCTTTATATCCCAGACAGTAGGTGCTCAGTATATATTTATTGAATAGAGATCATAAGATACTACATTTACCATGGATTAGGATGCTGAACCACAGCATGGAGCCTATTTAGATGTCAGCTCTATAACTAAAATTATTAGCTAGGTAGACACATAAGTTATAATAGTACTTTTCTCTGGAAGGGAAATGTTCATTGTATCAGTGGTAAAGGGGTACTTTAGCTTTATTTCCCCCCAAAGATGTATCACTTACGTAATTGAAACGAGTACAAATTTTATTTTTTAAAATATTTTTATTGTTTTCAGAGAGGGAGAGGGAGAAATAGAAACATCAATGATGAGAATCATTGATCAGCTGCCTCCTGTGCGGCCCCTATAGGGTATCAAACCTGCAACCCAGGCATGCACCCTTGACTGGAATCGAACCCAGGACCCTTCAGTCCACAGGCCAATGCTCTATCCAGAGCTAAAACAGCTAGGGTGAAATGAGTACAAATTTTAAAACAAACAATTGGAGGTTTTGAAAGTAACAGCAAGAAAAGAGCAGATTCTCAATCTGAAGGCAAAGGGAGAAAATTTTTAAAAAGCAGATTAGTAAGAAATGGACTTAAGTGCAATTATGAGACTTGGTGCCTACAAAGACTTAGAAGTTGGGTATTCTGGGGTTAATAGATTAACATTTCAAAACACTTGATTAAAAAAAAAAAAAAAAAAAAAAAAAGACATGGTCCTGTCCAATTATGAGCTGAACCCATGACCTATCATTGTTCATTTCAATCCTGTGATCCAATAATGCCTAAAAATTCTTATAGACAACAAAACTTTAACACAAAATTGTTCCTTTAAGAATTCTACTTGAACACTCTTTCCCTCAATGCTGGGAAAGTAAAAGGAGCATAAATCAAAACAAAATTCAAATGTTATTAGTATCACTACTAAGTATTTTAACTGGCTTACCTCCCTGTCCCCTTAAGTCTAAGATATCCAATACTGCTTTATTAGATTGTACATAAATTGCAGTAAGTAAATTCTGCTTAGATTCAAGGCCACGAGAGATTATACTTACAAACCAGTGAAAAATTCATCCACTTCAGGAATGTTTGAGTATTATGTCACATTTCAACATCAATATATCAATTTGATGGCATATCTAATAATTAGAATGCACTTTTGTTTTAGATATTTGTGAGTTTTTTTCCATGTACTTATAGACTTCCACGAAATTTTTTATGAGACAGGACCAAAAAGCTGTATGAAAGACACTCTTCCAGTACAAAGCCTAAAGCAGCTCTGTATACTATACTTCACATGGTAAGCTCCCTATGTGAGTTTAAAAATATGTGCAATTATCTTTTCATTTATATTTCAATGTTACCTAGCTAGCATTTACCCAATAATTTTGAGCCAGTGGTTTTTACAGGGCAAAACAGATATAAAGTTTTTGTTTATGGCCTTTGCAACTATTTCCCCAAATACTATATATAATATTCTGAACAAACACGCCACTGAAGAAATTTAACATTCAACTTGCTGGTTTTAATCTCCAAATATGAATCTAATTTTACTATAAGTTCTATCAATAAAAACATGAAAAATTCTACATTATCCCAAATGTGTCATCATTAGGTAAAAACTCATTTAGGCAAAATAGTATTTATGCTTCCATTTTATTGTTTTTTAAGAATTAAACTGCCACCTCAGTAGTCTTAGGAGCAATATAATGAAACATACATACATTTAATTTAGAACTATGTCCATTATAGTTTCAAAGGCTTCCCTGAAATAAAGCTGGAATTCACATCTTTTTTAAGGAAAGAAATACTAACAGTAATTTTGTTATCCTTCTACTACCCTCCCTCCCCCAAACCCCGTTCAAACAATAACTGGATGAATTCAAGTCTAACACATTTGTCTGCTAGGACATTCATCTGATCTGCCTCCCTGCATAACATATTTCTTAAACCTAACTGAAAATAAATCACTTTAAATGCCTATGAGAATTCTTAACTTTTATCATGATACTAATTTTTTTGTCCAGTACATAGGCCAAGTGGTTTTATAGCCACATTCAACTCTAGCAAATTTCAATAAAAACAGAAGAGTTCTTCATAAATAATTGAGCTCTAAAAAATTTGGATATTCTCTTATTACATGAAACAAATAGCATAGGATTTTTAACGGCTATTAGATAGAGGCATGAAAGGGAATCAAGTTTGCACCAGTCCAAGTACCTACAGTAATATGATAGAAGCACTTCCCACCAACTTTTCACACTATTTCACTCCCATGCTTCTAATAACAAAATTTTCTCACTAGAAGTATTACATTAACATTGGATTCTCTAATTGATAGGTGTGGAAAGTCAGTTAAAAGTGTATTCATTATTTTCAACTGGTCATGGTTGAAATGGCCATTTGTATTATTTCTAGGTGACTTTGCATCTGATTATCTAAAATGAGAAATTGTTTTGCCTGTAACTGACAGAATTAAGTGGTAAATAGCAATCAGTTCACCCTTTGTCAAAAAGAAATGTTCTAAATGTATATACTACAAACTATTTAATAAATGATATCTGCACACTACATATTTCATGTTTATATTATGCACCATTTTAGAGGGAAGGAAATACTTCACAGGGGTTTACTCAAAGGATATATAATGATATATCCTAAGAATAATGAAGTGTACATGAGTTCTGTAGAAACTGAGTGGTTATCTTAACTGGACTATAACAAGTCCCTACAACGCAAAGGCTGACTCTAAAGGCACCTTATAAAGCACTGAAATTCACAATTTAGTTATTCTTTTTTCTCCAATAAAAAATCATCTGGTAGTCTTCACTGTTGATTCCATGCTAAAATATCCCAAGTTTTAGACTACTTAATCAATAAAAGAAAAAGGAAATTAATAGTTTTCAAATTTCAAGTTAAAGAAAGAAATCTTATCACACAGTGATGAAACCTGAGCAATGCAAGTTTGTAACTACAAGAATGTCCTTCATTAATACAGTATTCAAATTCATCCATGGCATTCATATTGTGATTTAAACTCCAATAAACAAGACCACACTTAAGCACAGGATCAAACTCTATCATGAACTGAGGAATTACATACAGCCTTTTCAACCCTAAATATTAAAGACAATGAGTAGAGTAGAACACCCTTCATCTAAACAACACCATTTAAACAGTTATATAATGTTACTTAAGATTAAAAAGTGTGGTGAATTATGTGATTCCAACCATTCAGTAAAAAGCATTAATGAATAACAGCATCCCCCTAACTATAATATTTGGAGACTATAATCAGTTACTTTGGCCATATCTTTCCAAGTAATTAGTAATGCCTTTAATATTTCAAACATAAATATATCTCAATACTGGAATTTCAACATATTTTGGAGCTCCTGAACTGCATAAATGAAAAGGCATCCAAGTGAAGTGCATTATATACTTAATATATCTCAAAATTTCAGTGCCTAAAATGTTAAGTAATTCTCTATCATTTAACAGTCTGCCTTACAGTAAATTCTAGTAGATTTTTATTTTTAAGATTTTATTGTAACTTTGGGAAATTAGTGGTAAAACATATGGTTTTAAAAAACAGTATGTGGTTGCACTTAAATTCACATAAAAATAGCATTTTTACAACCATATTGAAATTTAATCCTTTTACACAGGTTAACAAAATGTGTCACAAGAAAAAAAAAAAACTGGGTTTAACAAAAGCAACACCTTTTAAAGTGGAATAAAAATTTTCAAATTTTTTTTTTTTTTTTACAAATGGTCACCTGTGGGTCAATTTACCACACTAGGGGAACAAAGTTGTTAAAATATAGCTGTGCTCCACTGAGCCACTTATCTGCACTACAGTATAGTACTTGAAATCAACCCTAAGGTGAAGATTTAAAACCATTTTAAGAGATAAGACCCTAAGTGTTTTATAGCCATCTCAATAAGAGGTTTTTCCTTCCCAGAACAGTCAAAGCTTAATTAAAAGGTTGACTACACATTTTTTCATATCTTCAGTTCAAAATACTCTTATCATTGATAATATGGTCTATATCTTGTCTGATCTGGATGATGTGGTCCAGGAAGAGGGGTTTGAGAAGGTGGACCCTGCATTCGTGGAGGAGGTGGCGGCCCTCTTGGTGCAGGCCATATACCAGGACTCATTCCTCCTGGCTGTGTAAATGGAGGGCTCAGAGTTCCTTGATCTTCAGTGAACTGGGGTAAAGAGTTAGGATTATAATGATGAGGAGGGGGTGCAGTAACAGGTGGACCACCATGTTGAGGTGGGGGAGGTCCTGGAGGAGGATGATTCATATAAGGTGGCATCTGGGCAATGATATGTCCAGGGGGAGGGGTTATTGGTGGTGGAGCAGAGGTCATTGGAGGAGGAGGAGCTTGGCTATAAACCAAGTGAGGAGTACCTGCAGCCTGGGGAGGATGTGGCATTGGATGGCTTATTGGTGGTGGAGGAGGTGGGGGTGGTGCGTAATGTTGCTGTGGAGGCATAATATGATGAGGGTGCGACACCACTGGTTGACCCTGATATTCAGGATGATGGTGAGCAGGTGCTGGGGCAGGAGGTGGTGGTTCTCTAGCACCTGAATTTGAGTCATCCTGAATAGGGACAGTTATTAAATTGCTGTGTTTTCTTGTTGAAATACGAAAGGTTTCCTGACTGACCGAACGAGGTGGAGGTGGAGCCATGGACAATTCTGCTGGAGGAGCACGAATATCCTCATGTGGCTGATTATAGTGCTCATGTGAAACATGTTGCAAAGGAGGTGGTGGCATCATGATGTGCTGCTTTGGCGGAATATGGCTCATACTATGGTGCTTGTCTGGTGGCATTATAAAGCGATCAGGGATTTCAGCTGGTGGGGGGGCAATAGAAGGATGAACATTTTCAAGTGAAGCTCGGGTAACAGGTTTTCCAGCTCTCAGATGGCGGTGGTTGATATGAGCCTGTAAGTCTCTCTGAGACAAATACGTTCTCTTGCACCCTTGAACAATGCTACACATGAAGAGAGAACCACGTGCACACTGCTCAATTCGTTGCACAGGATCACTACACCTAAATTAAAAGAAGAAAAAAACTGACTTACTAAAACAGACTTTAAAAATAATGCACTTCATTTCAAAGATATGCTTCATTTTTTAAACTTAGGGAAACTTGCAAAAGTTCACAATGAAAAATTATACCATAAATGAACCTTTAACCTTTTCCACTTTGTTTTTTTGTTCACTATTAAGTATTAGCATTTCTATCAACTTCAGAACTCTCAAGTCAAGAAAAAAACAAACAAAAAACTGAAAGTGTATCAAATAGAATATGTTTTAAGAAAAAACTTTATTCTGCCCAAGACCTAGAATTTACCTGATTTTCTCTAGAATTTGCTGAGGAAATAATACTAAGTGGAAGACACAGACACAAATAGGAGATGCTACAAGGACTACAAAAACAAGTAATCATCTTAATTATCAGGGTTCTTAACATTAAACAACACAAAATTTAAATTCAAACTCTGGCTATCAAGTCTTTTATGGAAGGGATCTTTCTGGATGGTCAAATTTACTACTAAAAAGTTATTACATACTGCTGCCTTTCTAAATTGCAAGCACTCAGTATTTTAACAACTCGGGGTCAAAATTGTAACTATATTCCATCCTCTATATATAACCCACTCTTGCCTTTAGAGTCTTCTGAAATAGTGGAGAGAACTAAACTAGGAATCAGAAGAAGTAGGATCTAGTACTGGCATTCTGGAGAAGTCATTTAATGTCCTTCTTCATCTATAAAAGATGGGTTAAAACATCTATTCTATCTAACTCAATGTTTTTATATCTACTTAGTCTGAGATATCCTTAAGATCAATGGACCAATGAAAATGACAGTATTTAATCATTGAACACTATATGTATATACATACACACACACACACACACACACACACACACTCACTTAATTCTAATAACCATCCAAGGATGCCGGTGCTATCATTAGCTCTATTTTATAAAGAAACAGTCTAGATCACATGGCTAACAAATAGCAGAAAAAGAATTTGAAACCAAGAATTCTAATTCCAAAGTCTTTGCTACTCTCAATTGCTACTATGCAATACTACCTCTCTAGTGTCCCATCAAAACAATAAAATAACTATTTTTGGCTTATAACAAATTTTGTGATGACAAATATATTTTGTCATTTTGGACCAATCTGAATTAATTGACACAGCTACCTAGCCCTATCCAGGGAGAAGACTAAGGCCAACTCCGGGGTCACAGAGAAAGAGTAGCCTGACCTTTTAAAGAGTGACCTTTAATCAATATTATAAATTTATATCACAAGCTTTATTATTTAAAAATGTAATGATCTTACCCTGGACACATCTTATCTCCCTTTTTTTCATGTAAAATAGCACAGTCATAGCAAAAAACATGCTTGCATGGAATCTGTAAACAGAGATATAGTGACACATTTTAGAACAAATTAAAATATTTTTAAAAATAACAGTAAGAATAGTAACCTAGACACAGACACTTGATAACTGTTTGTAAAAATGAGCATTTATTAAGTACTAATTATACAAAAGCAATAGCCTTTTTCAGTCACAAGTCCTTTGAGAATGTGATGAAAACTCTGGCCCAATAAATGTATACACGCACATTCACTTATACTTCCTGAAGGTATAAACCCTCTAAATTTCATCATGGTCCCTAAGAGTTCAAAGCTCCTGAAAAGTAATGTTGTAACCATGTTTTATCTTATCCTGTTCTTCCTGAAACTATGCCAAAGCACTAAGATAACAAATATCTCCTACATTTAACATAAGTAACAGTTTTTCCTGTTAGCCTTACTATAATCTATACTAAAAGGGTAATATGTTAATTAGACCGGATGTCATTCCAGACATCCTTCTAGCCGGAGGGAAGCTGGTGTCGGCAACTGGGGGAAGGAAGGCCTACGCTTACACAAATTTTAATGCATCAGGCCTCTAGCAAACATAAAAATCTAAAAATAAATCAGGATGCAGAAATTAGGATGCAGATATTAGGCCATTTTAAAACTCATAACCCATTAGTTATTTAGCTATGTCACAGCAAAGCAACAGTGCACAATCAATGTTCTCTACCATCACAAATATATTACTGAATCAATATTTTTCCAAACACAAATGTACATCTTTTTAAAAAGAATATGTCAAAAATACTATAAAATTACAATCAATTATAATTTATTTTAATTATTAGAATTAAATTCTCAGAAATAAAAAAAACATATAGTTGATTTCATTTTACATTAAAAATTATAGCCTTCTGCCGAAACCGGTTTGGCTCAATGGATAGAGTGTTGCCTGCGGACTGAAAGGTCCCAGGTTCTATTCCGGTCAAGGGCATGTACCTTAGTTGTGGGCACATCCCCAGTAGAAGGTGTGTAAGAGGCAGCTAATCGATGATTCTCTCTCATCGATGTTTCTAACTCTCTTCCTCTCTGTAAAAAAAAATCAATAAAATGTATTTTAAAAAAATTATAGCCTTCCAAAATAAGTAACTGATTTTATTGTATCAAATTTTATTGTACCAAGAAAAAAAAAAAAAAGCATTTTCCTTAATAAACTGTAGAGAATGGTTATAGGATTAAGCCTGGTATTGACCTGCTGGCAAAGTCACAAACATGTCCCAGCTTGGAGGGCACAACCCTCTAAGCATAATTAAGCTTGATCTTGTGACTGCTCCCTAGACCTTTCGTGGGTAGCTAATGGGCTGTGGGAGGGGCAGCAAGTGCTGCCAAAACAAGTAAAATTTACAAAAACATTGTAAATTACCATGTTTACCCCTGACTATAAATAAAGTATCAGCTTTGCAGTTTGATTCTGTTCTGTGGCCTCAGACAGGCACAGGAGATCCGCCTTGGCTGTGCTGGCATGGCACAATAAAACAGAATAAATATAAACTAACAGGTATCAAGTAGTCCAAAGAAATTATTTCGTTTTCAGAAGTTAGTTCCCTTAATTAGTACTTTACAACCAATTCTAGAGTGGGTCAAGATAACTATATTAAAATGCATTATTATTCCCAAATTTCCCTGAACTTTTTAAAAAATTATTTTATTGATTTTAGAAAGTGAGGAAAAGGAGGTAGTTAGAGGGTCCCTGAAGGAGGGGGAGAAAAGAAGAGGAGGAAGAAAGAGAAAAGTGTCGATTTGTTGTTCCACTTATGCATGTATTCATTGGATGTTTCTTGTATGTGCCCTGACCTGACTGGGTATCGTACCCACAACCTTGGCGTATCAGGACAACGCTCTAACTGAGCTACCACCCAGAAGCTCCCATTTATTTTAAATGTCACAGACTTGTTATTAAACAGTGAAAAACCTATCTACTTAAAATTTCAGAATCTTACCTCTACAAAAATGTTCACATTTATAAAATAGAATTCAATTTAATTATACTTACCATTCGCCCATAGATCTTAATAGGCAATCCACATTTGTCACAGAAATGAACTGGGGTATCATCTTTTTCACCTAGAATGTTTATCTGTTGAAATGATATAATTACAATTTCCTTTTTAAGCATTTCTAAAAAAAATCATACCTATAATTTACACAATGAATTTAAATTTTACAAATGTTAAGACAATTAGAAATAAGTTTCTTGATATCCTCACATATTCCACACTACTGGCTGTGCTACCAGTTTGTTGTTTCTTTTTTCTTAGTGTTAACATGTGTTTTTCTTATTTTACTTGACTTTAGTAAAAAATGTTTCCAATTATTTTTGGAAATGGTGGAAATAGGACATTAATAAATAAATGAGTTGTGTGTGCTAAAAGATACAGCTATAATAAAAGTTCATGCCATTCTTTTTGTATATTCCATTGCTCTAGTAAAATAAAGTATCTTATGCTTTTATTTTGGACATACCTGAAAGTCCCAAAAAAGGTGTCCAGGAAATCTTCGTTGACTTCCAAACAGTTCGCCTCCTTTACAATCATACCGTTCTTTTTCATTATAATCAAATCCTTCTGAGAAAATAAAGGATTATTTATTAACTTTTCATATCTCAAAATTTCATTACAATGTAAAATAGGCCTGTTCCCTGATTCTTTTCAAAGCTCTTCTATGAACAAGATAATCAAGACTAGTTTTAACATCTGCTGGAATTTATCTTAGTGATCATGAAGTCCAACTCTCTTACCTCATAATAGGAAATATTGTATTAAGGGGACTGTAACAACATAGAGAGGTAAGTGGCAGAGCTAGGAACAGACCTCAAAACTCTTCATTCCTATTCAAATGTTCTTATTACTGACCCAACTATTTCTAATATAAAACTTTATTAATTACTATCATGTTTATCACACAAATTTTCAAGATATACTTGTATATCATTTACTTTGATCTACTACAAACACATCATGCTTACAAGAGGATAAAAGGATATAATAAAACACAAAAAATTCTGCAAATTTTCTTCTTATGACTTAGTAAATTAGGTATCTTCTTCAGCCTTAAACTGAGCCTGATTTTAGAAAAATTAACATATTGATACCCCATCCTTCAAATTAAAACCACTCCTTGGTTAATCACCCAAACAGAAAAAGCCATATCATATCTATTCACAAGTATACTCTCCTATACTGCATAGCAATATGAAGATTGCATGAACTCAATTTTTCTGACCTAACGAAAAGGTTGATGGTAATCCTCTCATCTCATAAGAACCCAATGAACCAATCCCTGATAGGGATTCTAGGTAAACTCAAATTAACTAAAGTAAAGACAAACCTATCCCTCCAAAATGCTAGGCTTCTCACAACTCTTTAACTTTAACCATATGGCTAAATTATAGCACCTATATACAAACACACAAGGACAAACCAGGATAGGACAGATGGACACGGGGACATACACACACACACACACACACACACACACACACAGCAATGCATAAAAATTTTAAAGCTAATACAGACACTCCAGTGTACTGCTATCTAATTATCTCCAACCAAATGTAAAGTTCAAAGAGTGTCCTTGAGTGAACTTAGGCTCTTATATGACTTATTTATACCTTATAAAAAAAACCCACTGCCATCTAAAACTCAAAATAAAATGAAAAATCAATTTTTCTTATTTATCTAAAACTCAAAAAATTATTGAGAACAGCCAATGAAATTAGGAATACATTATCATTTTTCAGAGTAGTTCAACCGACATTGCCATCTATAATTAAACCACATATTGTATATTTTTACCATACTGGCACCCAAAACTCCGTTATTTTGAACAATGCCTGGGAGGGCGTGAGTGGGGGAAAGGGGAGACAATGAACAATTTTTACCCCAAATAGGTGAATCGAATGTATCAAAAAATTATCTTCAGCCTCAGTTTGCTCTACTAAGAGAGAGACTGGTAATGGTAGTTCCCCCTAAAAAGGGATGTGGGCTTGGGTGGAGAGGGGAAGATGAAAGGATATCTGAGAGGAAAAGGGTAGAAGGGAGATTTTAGCTTTTTTGTATTGTTTGGATTACAAGATATGTACATTACTGTATAGTTTTTTAAAAAAACAAAAAGGCCAAAAGGGGGAATCTAGTTACTGAAAATGCAGCAGCAGCCCTAAGTTCTACTACTAGAATTTGTAACATTTGACTTCAAATACTGTTCAGATAGGGAGAGAAATTCTATAACAAAGGGAACCATAATATAAGGTACAATAAAAACAATTTGATTCTAAAAAAGGAATATAGACAGATGTCTAGAATAGAAAATCTAGAAACAGATACAAATACTAACAGAACTTTAACATATGGTAACAGTGAGATTCCAATTCAACAAGGAAAAAAGATTTTTTTTAAATAGTTGGGACACATAGCTGGCTGTTTTATAGAGAAAATAAACCCAGGTTCCACTTTTTTATTTTAAGTAACAAAATACATATCATCCATAATATTCCAAAACAAGGGTCAACAAACTTTCTGTAAAATTCCATATAATAAACACTTATTTATGCACTTACCAGCTATGCCAATATATTGTGAAAGCACCCGTAAACAATACTTAAATGAACGGGCTTAGCTATGTTCCAATAAAACTTTATTTGCCCCACAGGCCATAGTTAAGAAAACTGTTTTATATTCATGGAATATGGGAAAAGCCTTTCTAAGAAAGTCAGAAAACCTAGAAGTCATAACAGAAAAGACGACGACAACAACAACAACAACAATATATATATATATATATATATATATATATATATATATGTGTGTGTGTGTGTGTGTGTGTGTGTGTGTGTGTGTGTGTATGTATGTATGTATGTTTGTATGTAACTGTCTGACCGGTAGCTATGAAGTGCAATGACCACCAAGGGGCAGACGCTCCAACCACCAGGGGCCAGATGCTCAACACAGGAGCTGCTGAAGGACAGCAACTTTGCAGAGTGTCCTTCCCACTCCAGGACCCCTCTGGGGATGTCGGAGTTCGAGAAAAGGGCAGTTCTAAATGAAAGACGGGTTTTGACCCAATCCCTGCAGGCCTGGCCGAGGGACCCCACCTGCTGAAGGGACTCCCTTCACTCCACAGATGCCCTTCGAGTCCCAAGTGCCACCAGCCGGGCCCATCTCTCCCAGTCCCGCCCCGCCATCTTCTAATTAATTTACTTTCAATTTGCATCAAATCTGTGTACTTGGCCTCTAGTTTTTTATATACAAAATTCAAGACAGATTGGGGAATATATGTAATATAGACAAAGGGCCAATTTTATTAATTTACAATGAACTCATAAAAATCGAGAGACAACCAAACAGAAGATAAAATTGGAAAAGAATATAAACAGGTAAATCTCCCAGGTAAAAGAAATGACCAATACTATGAAGAGATATACAATCATAATTTTAAAAATGCATAAAAAACCAAAATTTTTGAAAGGTTAATAGTATGTACTAATATTGGTGTGTGAAAGTATAAAATGATGTACTGTTTTTGAAAAGCCACTTGAAAATAAATGTCAATTTCTAAACTGCACAGTATCCATCAAGTTCTAAAATGTCTAAATCACGAAAAGTTTAAATTCTACAAAGTATACATACTAAGGTATATGTACAAGAATAATTACGGCAGCACTGTTTTTAACAGCAAAAATTTGGAAAAATTGTTAAGTTATTGATAAATGAAATACCTAAACCTATTTTGTTAAATGAGGTATATCTGGATGTACTAAGAAAGCAAATAATATGAAGGGGCAGTGATACATGAAAAAAAGTAAATATAAAAATGCCATAACATATCATTTTGGGGGAGACAAGTTATGGGAGAGACTATCTGTGGGGGCGGGGGGGAGAGGGACAATTTTACTTTTAATATTATTTTACTTTTATTTTATTGCATTATTATTTAATAATTATTGCATTATTTTCCATACGAACCATCATCGACTTACTTTTGAGCCACCTGTATTTATAAAGAGAGAGAAAAATACAACATGCCACAATGAGACATCAGTTAAGACTGAGGAGTGATTAAAGTATGTAAGATTTTTAAAAGGTATGCATAAACAAGCAAAATCATGTGAATTATTTGGTGGAAATGGATTCAACAAAAAGACTTCTGGACCTGTGAGTTAAACCAAATTACCTTCATCACCAGGTGGAGCCTTTGCAGGCATTCTGTTTATAGTCCTTGGCGTGCGAGGTGCAGCTTTGGCTTTGTTCCCTTGTTTGGAAATGAGCTTTATAGGAATTCTTCTTCGAACATCAAGACCACCCAATGATCCAGAACTATTAGTGCCTTGCAACTCATTGTCTATATTAGGGGGGGGAAAGTTGTAATTTCTGTTAATTTTTCTTTTTGAAGATTTTTCTATTACAGGTATTAAAACAGTACACCCAACATTATCAAGGTATGAACATCTGGGTTCAGATTTTAAATATTTTGTTATATAAGTTTAAGTGCTCATTTTCTCTGTTTTGGATAAACCCTTAAAGAAATGCTTTTTGAAACACGGAACCTTTCAAAAAGTTGACAAGTTATAGAACTTTCCCTAAAAATGTACACAATAAAACTTTCAACCCCAAACAAAAGGAATCCAAAGAGGACCACACCAAGACACATCATAATTAAAATTCCAAGAGCAAAAGACAAAGAGAGAATATTAAAAGCAGCAAGAGAAAAGCAGGTAGTTACCTATAAAGGAGCACCCATACGATTGTCAGCTGATTTCTCAACAGAAGTCAGGCCAGATGGGAATGGCAAGAAATATTCAAGGTGAATAGCAAGAACCTACAGCCAAAAATACTCTACCCAGCAAAGCTATCACTCAGAATCGAAAGCCAGAAAAAGAGCTTCACAAATAAAAAAAAGCTAAAGGAGATCACCACCACCAAACCAGATTTATATGAATTGCTGAAGGGGGTTCTTTAGGAAGAGGAAAATAAAGATAAAAATTATGAACAACAAATACGTAACTATCAACAAGTGAATCTAAAAACCAAGGGAATTAAAAAATCTGATGAACAATATTAACTGGTGAATATAATAGAATCAGAGGTATGGTAGGGGAGTGGACTGACGATTCTTGGGGAAAATGGGAGTGGGGGGTGCAGGAAGAGACTGAACACAAACTGTGCACCTATGAATGAAGACAATGGGGGGTGGGGAAAGGGCAGAGGGTGGGGTGGGAACATAGTGGAGGGGAGCAATGGAGGAGGGAAAAAGGAACATTTGTAATAATCTGAACAATAAAGATTTAAAAAAAAAAATAAAAACTAAAAAAAAAAAAAACTTTTTCCCCCATAAAATTCCAGAGGAGTTTATAGAAACATAAAACTCTGCATAAGCCCAAGATAAAAACTTCTGTCTTAAAGTAACTATGAGATATTTTAAAAGAAAAAGTAAGAGAAAGGAGGAGAAATAGAAAGAAAAGCATTCCCATCTCCATCAAGCATGCAAAGTAGGCACTCAATAAATTTAGTAAACTGAATCTACATCAGGGCAATCAATAAAACTGAAAACAAAACTAACACTGACAATGGTAAAAGTAAATAAATAATGCACTGAATTGAAGTTTATTTTAAGAAAGATGATTATTTCCTTAAGTGTAAAACAGTTTTTCTAAAACACATTTTGAAACATAGTAAAAATTGTCATACCATTTACTAGTAGAAAGATGCAATAATGTATCCACACCATAACATTTCTATATGTTCACATATGACTCCTTTTTTTATTTTTATTTTTTTATTTTTTTACAGAGAGGAAGGGAGAGGAACAGAGCTAGAAACATCAATGAGAGAAAAACATTGATCAGCTATCTCTCCCACATTTCCTACTGGGAATGTGCCTGCAACCAAGTCTGGACTGGACCCCTCAGTCCACAGGCCAATGCTCTATCCACTGAGCCAAACCAATCAGGGCTCACATATGACTCATTCTTAATCAGCATTGTAATAGAAAATTAGTTTAGGAAGATGCAAGATTTCTGCACTTCAACTACATCTAAACAACTGACACTTTCTAAGTGCCTACTTGTTATTGACTAAAAAATAAATTAACTCATCCCATGAGTAACAGTAGCATTATTTCATAGAACTGACTCCATTTGGAAGCTTGAAAGTCACCTTTTCAAGACTATGATAAGGTATTACAGTACAAAAAAATACCTCTAGCTACTAAAGAAATACCACAAAGTAGGAAATGAAAGGGGTCCTTAATAATTTAAATATCTTTCATTCTCCTTTTTGCTATTACTTACAAAATTCACGGAAGACGAATTACATGGACAGTTAAAATCTTGAGTTCAGATAAACCCAAGTTTCAACACTTCACTAAATGTATTGAGTTGCATAATGTATTTCATCTGCTTTCACACACACTAGTTGCTTATTTAAGTATAACTACCCACAAGCAATCAATAGCCAAAAGACAGATATAACAGATGGAAAAAAAATTTTTTTTTTGCTCAAAGGTATTCCTAATTTACCAATAATTAAAAAGCAAGTTGTAGACAAACTTAACAGTTCAAATTTTCCCTTCAAATATTAAAAGCACTCTTAATGATTTTACCTTGGTGAATGATCTAAATACCAACATTCCAAGTCCTTTTAATATCATCACCCTTGAAGTCACTATTGATACTTGCTTAGCCTACTAGTACTTTCAAGAGCCTGCTCTTAATATATCATTGCCTAATGCATCATTCTGGATTGTCTTGGGCTTTTGGTTTATTAAGAATCAGATCATACAGCACAATTTCCTTTTGAATACAACTAAAAACAAAGACCATAAGAGCAAAAGTCTGGGTATTACAAAGAAAGTGAGAACTAAGGATATAACTGGCCATTTAAGGTAAATCCACTTTAACCAAGAATAACAATTTTATATTATATAGGTTTTTAAGTATATTTAGAATTGTAAAGGAACCAATAAATATTTTACAAAATTTAGGCTACATTTACAACTAAGTGCCAATTCTTAGAATGAGCAAAGTGTTAACTATACGTTTCTTAGAGTAATTTTTCCAGCAAAATTCTATTAGGGCACCACAGGGTAGCCTTCATTATATGTTTGACTTTTTTAGCGTGATCATAAAAAATCTCATTTCTATGTAACATTTGAGGGTTTCATCCATTTCAAGGGCATCTCTTAATCCTTTGTTATTAAAATCATTCTTCTGAAATGCCTATCATATCATAATGTCTTCAAATTAACTGGCTAACAGGCATTTCCTTACTTGCCAATGACTTTATTTGTGACTCAAATAGTTTATGAATTTCATGAAAACCTGATTCTTTTGTAAGCTAAGCTTTGTAATCACTATCTATATAAACATTTGATACTGTTGACTGATATGAAACAAGGATACAACAATACTAACTAAAAGAATAGAAGCTAGTGTTAAGCAGCAGGGATTATTTAGTAGCAACTAATTTTTCCAGTGGTCAGCTCATTGGTGAATATTTTCATGTCAGGAGGACATTCACTTTCTTGGGCAACTTTTTCATTTAGGAAAATTAGAATACCAAATAATCAGTACACACCCACCCATGTTATAACTAACACAATATTCTCTAAACTGTGGATGGCAGTTGACTTCCATTGAGTAACAGGAAGAGAAATATTTTGCTAACATTAGATGTTTACTACTCGAACATCAAGATTCCACACTTTCAATTCTATATTTCCAAACTGGAGTCTAGGACCTTGTCTCTATGCAGAACAAATCCCAAATACCTGCTTTTTGGCTCAAATCTTTCTTTTTACATCTCCCCTTGCATGATTCTCAATGTACATCTCTTATTTAGCAGTCCAAAATCTTGTTCCCAAATTCCCATGAATCACCTCCATCCCTTTAAAAAGTTTGTTTTTCTCCCAAGTTTTTCCCCAACTCAAACCAAAGGCATCTCTCTTCTCTAACATATATCCAACCCAATCCATCAGTACGTGTTTAAATACCATCACAGAAATACTTATTGAATCTACCCATTTCCATTTTTACTAAACAGAGCAACCTTTACTAAGCCAAGCTTCCCTTCTAGTTTGCTGCAATCAACTCCTAAATTGTCTATTTTCTATAATTCTTACCTCCCTCTCTTATACCATTCTCCATAGACCCTATTATATTTTTAAAAATTATGTTTCTCCTCACTTCTGTTCAATGGCTTCATATTGCACTTAAAATTCAAATCTTTGCAATGGCCTTCAAAGTCTTGCACGGCCTTTCTCCTATCCTCCTTTCCAATCTCAGCCTAGAGCTCTTTCCCTCTTGCTAATAACTAAGCTGCAGCCAACTGGTCTTCTCCATTTTTTCCTATTTGTCTTTGTACCTGCTTTCCTCCACATATTTATTATTCCACAGCTGGCTTCGTCTCATCCATCAGATATAAAATTATAAATGTAGCACTTACAGCAAGACCTTCCCTGACCACCCTGCCGGAAGGGTCCTCCCAGTTAAGTCTTTACTACAGCATCCGTTATTGTCTTCAAAGAACTTATGATTTGTAAATTGGGGATCTTTAAAATTTGTGTCTTCCCCAATAAAATGTAATCCCTATGACAGCAATAACTTACTCCGTCTTGTTTACCATTCTATCATTCCATCCCCAGGCGTACAGGTATCTGGCATATAAATATATTTGATTTGATCACTGAAGACATCCCAACCAACACTTAGTACAGGGAAAAGCCCATTTTCCCCTCCTTGCCATATGGCTGACACAACTATACGGAGTACTTTTTAACTCCAAACCAAAAGCTACAAGAAAGCAAAACCAAAACAAAACAACAAAACATAAAAACAACCCACGCATAACTCAGAGTGGAACCATTACTTGGAGAAAGGGATTGTGAATGTCTTGATTTTAAGGTGTCTTTTGTAAATGTACCCAAAATGATGAGTTAAGGACCACAGCCGACGCACGGAGCATGCTTTGGGTTTAGGTGGAAACGCAGATTCCGAGCATCGTTCCGAAAGCCGCACCTATTGCCCTTCTCCCACCCCTAGTCCACCAGGGACCCGAGATGCAATTAGCGGCGGGCGGGGGCCACGGGAGCAGCCGCCCCGAGCGGACGGAGGCAGCAGGAAGTCTCCAGCCCTCTCTCGCGCATCCGCTCCCCAGCCTCGCAAGGCTTCCCCGACTCCGAGATTGGAATCTACCCGCCAAGCCCCATAATGCAAGGCAGAGAGAGAGCCCCCGGGCGCGCTCTCCTCCCCACAGGGCCCGCGCCGCCCGCACTTCGGGCTCGGAGCTCCGCAGCACGGGATAAGCTGCGGCTACTGCCGGCCCCGAGGCTGTGGGTACCACCGCGGAGAGTAGGCCGGGACGCGGCAGGCGCTCGCCGGGCACGGGGAGGGTTCTGTGAGATTCCTTCCTCCCCGCCACCCCCCGGGGCTGAGGGGCGAGCACAACGCCCCTGTGCCCGCCAGGCGACCCGTCCCGGGCCGGCCAAGGGGGCTTGGTACCGGGACCCCTCTCTGCCTCCGCCTCCTTACCAGTGTGATCCATGATTCGGCGCGCAGAGCACAGTGGGAGCGGAAGTCAACCGCGCCGGAGTCGCCGGGAGCGCGTGCGCTCTACCTCCCGGCAGCCGGGGAGGCGGAAGTGCGGCCGGGTTGCCCCGGCCTTTGGCTTCCGAGGGTCGCCTCCTCTCGCGTGACGCTACCCAACTCCGGTCAAGGAGTCGGGCATCGTTCAGGCGAGGAAGAGCGAGCGGAGGACGCGAAGGGCTTCGAGGCTGAGGTGGCGAGGGGTTCCGCGAGAAAGTAGCCTTTAGCTGTGGCGAGGAGGCCGACGGGAACAGGGGAGGAGGTGGGAAAGCGGGAGTAGCCGGTGGACTACGCTCGCGGCAGGTAAGGCGGAAGCCCGCCCTCCCCGCCCGCGGCGCGTTGCATTCTGGGACTTAGAGTACTCCGGAGCCCTGGAGCCGGCGGGGCCCACTGCGCAGGCTCGGCCGTTGGGCTGGCCCCACCCCGCGGGCGGAGCAACGGTTTGGAATCCCCCCGGGGTCCCGGAGCGCCGGTGTCCGCCCCCACCGGGTCCGGGGGGAAAGTGTCCACACGCGCGCTTCGGAAGGCGCCCTCCGTGGGGAGGCCGTGGCCCAGAGGATGGCTGAGCCGTGGGAGGCGCCCGGCTTAGAGAGAGAAGGGCTCCATCCAGGCTTATTGTCTAAAGGCCGCTTTGTCGTGAGAAGCTGCTGCACAGGCCCGGTTCCCACCTCTTAAGCTTCTAACCATTTGCTGCAAATGATTTGCAGCACATTGATAATGCTCACCTGGCATTTATTTTCTTGCAGGGGGAAAAAAAACAACAACAAAAAAAACCCGCTCAAGCCGCTAGGAAGCCCCAGGGCGATTCTCCTAAGGACTGAACGCAGGCTCGGGCCAAAGGGGACCCCCCCTTCGACTCCCCCCGTCTGTGCGGAGGGGCTGAAGGGGCGGACAGACCCCGGGGTGAGCGTTTGGGGCTGGCGGGAAGGGAGAGGTTAAAAAAAAAAAAAAAAGGAAAGGCCTGATGATGAGGAAGAGAGAGTTACCACAACTGGCAGTACCTAGTTCCAGTTCTTGGTCCCAGGGGCTTAGGGTTGCTGCCGCTTTCATCTTTTCTCGGCCAAAAACAAAGGCAAGTGCCCAGGAGTGTGGTTGCCTTTCCGGGGAACCTCAGCGCAGCCTCCACCTCGCGGACCCGGTTTGTTTGTGTCCACCACTCGCTCCCTTCTCCAGCCCTGCACACTCGCTGCCCTTGAATGAATAGAAAGGAGCACAATTAGTGGAAAACACAAGCTGGGGGAGTCCAGGGATTTGGGTTCTATTCTTGTCCTCCCTCGGCGGCGGCGGCGGCGACATCATGACTGGGTTATTCACGCTTTCAGTGCCAGGCTTCCTGGAGAACTAAGAGGTTATATTGACCTCTTGACGGAAATGGTTTTTCGTGGCAGTGTATTCCAGAGAGCGTTCTGGGTAGCAATGTGCTCTCTCTGTGCAGTTACTCAGTAACAGCCTCCAATAATAATGGGATCGTCAGTCCTACCAGTGTTCTGTTACTCGGTTTCACTGGGATCTTTTAAGAGACACTCCCATTCTGTCTGCAGCTTCATAAACAAGTTAGTAAGTGCATTCACACTCAGGGCAATTCTCCCATCAAGTACTAAGCAGGCCCGACCCTGCTTAGCTTCCGAGATCAGACGAGATCGGGCGCATGCAGGGTGGTATGGCCGTAGACTACACTAAGCTATCTCTGCCTACGGGTAACTTTTAAATCAAAGCTATCTCTGCCTACGGGTAACTTTTAAAATGTAAGTTTCTGAATCAAAGCTATCTCTGCCTACGGGTTACTTTTAAAATGTAAGTTTCTGAATTACTAAGTGGTTTACAAGATGCTTTCAATTGCCGGGCTTTTTGTTTTGTTTTGTTTTGGAGATTATACAGTACTAATGTGATCAGACATTTCACTACTTTGGTGTATAAAAGAAGGTAGTTTTCACCCAGAAAGAGCTCTTTTTATTGGTCCTATTCTCATATTTGGCCTATGGGCCATGCTTCCAATTGAGGCAAATCCAGGTTCTGAATAATATCGGTGTCCACTGATGCTAATATTGAAAGAATTACAATGAAAAAGAACCTTCAAACTGCATTTTACATAATTAGTAAATCAGGAGTTTTTGTCAGCGTCACATGGTCCATCAAGTTGTGAAAATTTACTGAGGGAAGACTCACTTATTTTAGATCCCCTGTAGATAAAATGTTAGATAAACATTTGTTGACTTACTTGATTTGCCATCTGTTGTTTTCATGCATTGCTTTAGTATCTGTGCTTTATATTCATTTCTCCCTTAAGTCTAGTTGCCTCACTTACCAGTGCAGTAATAGTGTGACAAATTATTCTCTTTACCTAAACTGATAAGTGAAACTATACACAGGCTTATATTTTACTACCACACTCTAGTATCTGTTGTTGATGACCTGCATGCTATAATCGGTCACAGTTGCTTTATTGAAAATTAACATTCACATTTATTTTATAGCATGGTACTATCCTATACTTTATGAAAACAAAACATCATCATAATAGACAATCTGAAGTACTGAGGTGCATATGTTCATCTTAGTGACAGACCTTCTGCTCTCTGATGAATTACAAGCCAGTGTTCTTCAAGATGTCTTGCTAGCTTTCCATTTACATAGCACTATTTATGCCGTGAGAAATATAGGATAATGTCAGAGAACTTGTTTTCCCAAGAATTTGTTCAAAACTCCTCAATACACGGTCATGACATTGACCTTCATCTCCTTCAGTTGTGTCACTCTGTAGTGCCTAAGACTGCAGAAAGCATGAACTGTATAAATAAAAGTCCCTCACTCCAATGCTACACAAGCTACTATTTGTAGAAATAATTAAAAACACGTAATTCTGTGTGTTTTGAGGGAATGCAGTGCTACCTATATTCAGAGAAAATAATGAGCAGAAGGACTGAGGATACTTAAGTAAGCTTTCTGGAGGATTCAAGATGAGTTTTGATTAGCAGGATTTAAAGAAGAGAGCAATGAAAGAAGCACCTCAAACAGGAAAGAATGACAGCAGACGTGAGAGTTGTTATAGGTTCTGGAGAGGACATGGATCAGCTTAAGTTGTACTGTTGATCCATGCTTTGAAGTACTGAAAAATAGGTCTAATTGTAAGGAACCTTGAAGTGTAAGATTTCAAAGTAACAGTAATGGAACACATGAACAAAATCTAGCATGATATATAAATTACATAATTTAGAGTAATATATAAAAAAGCAATGAGCAAATCTTAAGGGGGGTGGTGAATTAACACTGTTACATGTAAAATAAAAACCAATTGACTGAAAAGCCAGAGTTCCTTTCATTTTGTTTATGTAATGTATCACATTTATTGATTTGCAGATATTATATTAGCCTCGCATCCTGGAATAAATCCCACTTGGCCATGGTATATGATCTCTTTAATGTCTGATTTGCTACTATTTTGTTGAGGATTTTAGCATCTATGTTCATCAGGGATACAGGCCTGTAACTTTCTCTGTAGTTTCTTTGTCTGGTTTTAGAATTTGGAATTAGGCAAAACTGGATTCAAATGTCAACTTTTTCTGTGTGATAATTTGTCAATTACTTAAGCTTAATTTTTGTATCAATAAAATAAGGGTAATGATAACTTTTCTTACCACTTGTCCTGATGATCAAAGGCAATAATGTCTGTGAAAGCTCCTTATTGCTTGCCAAAATAACAGGCTTTTAATAAATGTTTATTTGCTTCATTCTTCTTAGTAATTATTGCTCATTCAGAACATCTAGGCACTGCGTTTCTTTTAAGACATCACACTCTACTTCATATTGTATCAACATACTTCTTCTATGTACTGTACAAGACAGGCTTCTTGAAGATAGGGTTAATTGGCCATCCATCTATAATGTGTTAAAGCCTAAGTGACCGTTATGACCGGTTGACCAGTCTTTATGATGTGCACTGACCACCAGGGGGCATACACTCAATGCAGGAGCTGCCCCCTGGTGGTCAGTGCGCTCCACAGGGAGAGTGCCACTCAGCCAGAAGCTGGGCTCAGGACTGGCAAGCACAGCTGCGGTGGCGGGTTGTTCTCCCCACTCAGCAACAGCCCTAGGGAGCAGCAGCAGGCGCAGCAGCCAGTCCCTGCTTGGGCTCCTCCCTGGTCACCTGCTGCTTGGCACGTTGCTATATCCCTCGGGGGCGTCCGACTTCCCCCAAGGGGTCCCTGATTGCAAGAGGGCTAGGGCAGGCTGAGGGACCCACCAAACCCCACCTAGTACACATCTATGCACCAGGCCTCTAGTATTTATATAATACACACTTTTTAGCAGAAAAATACTTATTGACTTACTGAAGAATATCATCAGAGATACTAGTAATATGGCCTATCAAAATAAAATTTTAACTTTTACTCACAAATAAATGTGGCAAACAAATGAATAAAAGCTCACAATAAAAAATAGCTAATTAGCCCACCCACCAGCATGGCTTAGTGGTTGAGTGTTGACCTATGAACCAGGAGGTCATGGTTCGATTCCTGGTCAGGGCATATGCCTGAGTTCCGGGCTCTATCACAAATGTGGGATGTATAGGATGTAGTGTATCAATGATGTTTCTATCTCTCTCTCTTCCTTCTTCTCTGTAGTCAATAAAAGTGTGTGTGTGTGTGTGTGTGTGTGTGTGTGTGTGTGTTTAATAGCTAATTAGTCCTGGCTGGTGTGGCTCAGTTGTTTGGAGCATTGTCCCACAAACTGAAAGGTGGCAGGTTCAATTCCTGATCAGGGCATGTAGCTGGGTGATTGGAGGCAGACAATCATTGTTTCTCACATCAGTTTCTCTCTCTCTCTTCCCCGATTCCTCTCACTAAAATCATTTCTTTAAAGCTACTTATGATAGGAGGGCACTAACCACTAAGGTTATAAAGAATTAGTGATCATTTATTACACTAATATTCAGAGTTCATGAGAAAAGAATATGTAATG